CTCCAAACCGTCCGTCATCGCCAGCGGTTAGTCCGGCGACGGTGTTTGTATGGCTCTGATACCACTTGTTAGCTCCTGGATCTCCGACACGGAGTTATCCGACCACTCACTAGTGTTGCCGAGCACACACTAGCGATGCTGACCACGAACTGTCGTTGACTACCACGTACTATAGTTAGAGGTAGAAGACAGGAGGGATAATAGAGTACACACACAACACAAAGCACCAGTGTTGGCCGGAGCTCTACAGAGGATATGGCAAACTAAACTCTCTCTGTTTACTGAGTTGCAGTGGTAATCTATATATACAACTCTACTCATCTAATCGTAGTACACAGACATGTCAGGCTAACATGCTGTTATAGTGACTAGATGTGACAGCAGGGCTGACTTTGGCACCTGCCCCTGCTGTAGCTACAGTGCCGCAGGAGAGCCGTTCGGCGCCTGCTCCTACAACGGCTACAGTATCACAGCAGGGAGCCTTTTCGGCGCCGTCTTCCCCTGCTGCGCGTTTACATAAGAGGGCAGCAGGTTACCTAACATCGCTCTGTTCGTTTGGCTTATAAGCCGTATTTTTCAGTCAACGGACAATATTTTTCTCTCACAACAAATCAATCAAGAATATTTTTAACCATAGCTTATCAGCCAAACAAACAGGACTTGTGAACATGTCTATGTGCTGTGCTGACATCCACGAGGACCCGTGGGCTCTTGATATTCCCGAATGAGGTTCAGGTCCTACTTCTGATGACTGGTGAGGTGAACAATACAGAATTCTTCCATATGCTGCGATATTTTGTCCCTCCGAATGTACTCATCCTCCGCACCCCCACTGATGTAATCATAGTGCATCTTTATTTGGCAGTTCTTTCTTGGCGAGCTCTTGATACTCCCGGACATTGACTGATAGATTATCCTCCATTCCTGCTACATCAAGAGGCCATTCTGACGTTGCAAATATCGCTGTGGTTGATACGGAGTATGTTGTATAAAAGTACACTGGCACACCATGCACGTATCAATGCATAAACAATAAGATGGGTTAACAAGGCTTGCTGTGCAGTACTGATACTGGCAGTCTGGCAATGCAAAAATTCTAAAGTTTTTTTATTTTTATTTCCGGAGCGTCAACATCAACAGAAGACTTCTGACTGATGAATATAAGGCCGCGTTTAGTTCGGCCACCGAATCGGCGCCGCCGGATTCGTTGCGCCACTGTAGCTACTGTAGCGTTTTGTTTTTATTAGGTAATAATTGTCCGATCGTTGACTAATTAGGCTTAAAACGTTCGTCTCGTAAAGTATAACTAAACTGTGCAATTAGTTTTTGATTTCGTCAACATATAGTACTCCATGCATGTACCGCAAATTTGATGTGATGGAGAATCTTCTTTTTACATAGTGCCAAATTCTGAAATTTTGGATAACTAAACATGGCCTAAGTTTTGCACTTTGTAGTCATTAAAGTTTGCAGACATGCATGTATTGTTCGAAAAATACTAAGCTTTTCAGACATCCTATATATCTAAGGCTGTGTTTAGTTCCTAAAATTTTTTCTAAAAAGTGCTACAGTAGCTATCACATTAAATCTTGCGATACATGTACGAAGTATTAAATATAGACGAAAAAAATTAATTGCACAGTTTGGTTAAAAATCGCCCACGACGAACGTTTTGAGCCTAATTAATTCATAATTAAACATTAATTATCAAATAAAAACGAAAATACTACGATAGCTAAATTACTAAATTTTCTTAAACTAAACACAACCTAAGCGGACCAATACACAAGCATGTGAATTGGACTCCACGCCATAACTGAAAGGTTTATTGTGCTGACGAAGCGCAACTAACTGAAACGTGGCCCACTGACTTCAAGACGAGCCCCAAATCGGGGGAACGGCGCACGGCCGATAGACACGGTGAGGGTTGTTTAGTTGGGCAAAGTTTGTGTAGGTAAATTTTACATAGTGAAGATTTTTTACTATAGCATTTTGTTTGTATTTGTGAATTATTATTCAAACATTGATTATTTAGATTTAAAAGATTCGTCTCGCAAAGTTAAAGCAAACTGTGCAATTAGTTTGTAATTTCGTCTACATTTAGTACTCCATACATGTACCATAAATTTGATGTGATGATAATCTTTTTTTTATATAGTGCATTTTTTTTAGAGTTTGGAAGTATTAAACAAGGGCCGTATAAAATTGCCAGGCCCTCTATTCTGGTACCGCAATGCCTTCTGTGGCACACAGTTGGGGAGCATTCAAGATTTGCAGGTTGCAGCATCTATCATAGCGATCCCCCTCCACGCCTCCACGGCTCCACCTAGAGTTCCACAGAAATCTTCACGGTGGAAACAGGAAGCAGGCCTCGTTTAGATTGCAAGTTCCACATAAATCTCCACGGTGGAAACAGGAAGCAGGCCTTGTTTAGATTGTAAGTTTTTTTACTCTCTCTCTATCACATCAAATCTTTGGACATATGCATGAAGTATTAAATATAGATAAAAAAATAACTAATTACACAGTTTGATTATAAATTACGAGACGAATCTTTTGAGCCTAGTTAAACCATGATGGGACAATAATTATCAAATACAAACGAAAGTGCTACAATGCCAAATACTGATTCCTAACTCCAATCTAAACAAGCCACTGGTTAAAAGCAAAGAGATTCAAGAAGGGACGACAGCGAGCAGCATGCAGCAGCAGGAACAGCGCCATACCTCTATCTGAGTATTGACTCAGCGAATGAGGTCGCCGAGGAAGGACAGCTATCAAGGACGCATGGCAGAAAGATGAGTGAGGTCTGAGGAGCAGCTTAAGGATTAGCCATTGCCCCCTTGGCGGGATGTCAGAAGCTCAGGTAGAGAGAGGGCGAGACACAGGATGACAGGACCCAACATTTCATGGTGCTCTGAGCTCCTAGGGCTCCAGTGGTCCCATCGACGTAGTGCGGATAAAAATTTTGCAAGGAAAAAAAGAAAGCAAAGGAACCATTATCATGTTGATTTTTTCTTTTCCTTTTATTGAAAAAAAAATTTAACAAGTTTTTTAAGCGCAAATTTGACGTGCACATAGATGATTATATGCTCCACCTATGCATATAGTTTGTGCCTTTGTGGGAATTTTCGTGAACTTCAACGGGTCCACGTCCACCCTGAGCCTTATATATGTTGATTTTTCCATTTTCTTTGTTGCACAAAGTTTTAAGAAAAGTTTTTTTAAGCTCAAATTTTACGTGCACATAGACGAACGGGAAAAGTATTCGGTACAAACCATTTCTGAATATTTACGATCTCAAATGTAGAACGTTTTAGCTATAAAGTTTAAATCTTATTGAGCGCTGCAATTTTGATAAGTATCCCGTTCGAGAACTTTTGGTAAGTATCCGTTCGAGAACGTTTGAAAAATTGAATGGATCTCAATTATGATAATTTAAAAACGAATATTTAGTACTCCAAATAATTTAAATAAAAAACTTGTCAATTACAAAGTGGTAGACCACGCTGAGCACCCTAACTTTAATATACAACAAGTCAACATTCGAGGTCATTTGAGAATTCTAAATTTTTAATTTTTAAATCAAAGAAAATAAAAATAAGTATTTGTGACTCTAAACGATTTTAAATGGAAAAATTATCAACCACATATTTGTAGATGGCATCGAGAATTATACAACCACATATTTGTAGATCGCATCGAGAATTATACTTTGGTGTAGACCATTTCAACATATGAGGTCATTCAAAAATTCTAAATGGAAGCGAACTAATCATAGATAAGTACGTTGGGTTTCTTATGGTGGAACCTGCCCATCCGGGCTCAAGTCATCGACTTGGCACGAGTGCTCGCATTTTTCTGAATTTTTTTCTAGGATTTAATGATGTTATGCTTTCAGTGGTAGGCGACGTCCCCGTCGACAGCGTGGCACCTGTGATGACTCTGTGAATCTCGAGATCTGTCGGCTCAGTCCTTCGAAGGTGCTCACCCTTTTAGTGGTAGGTGACATCCCCGTCAACAGCGAGAAACCTTTGAAGGTGCTCACTCATAGAGATAGGGTTTACGTACGTGTGTTCATAGGAAAGAGTGTATACTATTGTCTATAAATATTTCACTCGTGCTCTCAAACCATCCGTTAGATACAAGAGGATATTTTAATTTCTATCTCTTCCACGTCAGACAAGATCATAGAAGTACGTGGCATAAGGCTGACGTTATTTCTCTGTTCACGGTTCACGCCCTTACAATACGCGTTACGAGTTCAATTTTGTGTTATTTGTGCCTAGCTTGAAATGTTACTTGCTCCACGTCGATGTTCTCATGTATTCGGGACAGGGCTCCCAAGTGCCAACATACGTTGAGCACTTTGGGCAGGAAATCACTTAAGCTTAATCCAGCTCATGTTCTGGAAATAGTAAGTTGGATCTTACACCCTATTCGTTTATGCTGAAATTTGATTTATGCTGATGCTTATGCTAAAATATTGTAAGAGAAAAATACTGTTCAATGACTAATGAAGGCAGCAATCAATGTCAATCACATACCCTCACATTCATATCGCAACACTGAAGCGAGCACAATGGTCGGACTCTGTAGTACTAATGTAGCAGTAGCAAAACATCATGGTTTCGTTTGGTTCCTTCTCCAAAAGTTTACATCATATCCCATTAAATATTTAGATACATGCATGACGTGTTAAATATAAACTTAAAAATAACTAATTATACAAATTGCGACTACTTTATGAGATGAATCTTTTAAACCTAATTAGTTCATAATTTGACAATAAAGTGCTACAATAACACACGTGCCAATGGTAGGTTAATTAAGTTTAATAAATTCGTCTCGCGGTTTACTGACGGATTTTTTAATTTGTTTTTTTATTAAAATCCGAAACGACACCTCCATATGACCGACGTAACGCCTCGAAACTTTACGCCTGAACTAAATAACGCCTATGTGATTCAGGAAGTCCGTCCCTCCGGATGGTCGCGGAGTCACAGCAGGGCCCTGATCCGGTCGCCCTCGGTCTGGACGTGCGCCCTGGTGACCTCCGCGACGCTCCGGCAGCCGCAGAGCGCCATGGCCAGCTCCAGCTCTTTGTTCAGCATCTCGATCACGTGCCTCGCGCCGGCTTCCCCGCGCGCCGCCAGCCCGTACAACACCGGCCTCCCCACCTGCAATAAACACGCTCATCCTCGTCAGAACGAACGAATTGTCCACGGTTAGGTTTCTCTTCCGAAACAGGCGCTTTGCTGTGTGCCAAGTTTAGTGTGTCTTGAGTTGCTGTGAGATCTGGGTGGAGGTGTTGGTTGAGTTCTTTTGTTATTCGAACTTAAAACTCTGTAATAGGTGTTTGAACTCCATTGTAAGCTGGCCTCCCAGCACTGGATCATGGGCTTTCGATAAGCTTTCAATAAAGCCGGGCGAATGTCTTTGATCTAACAGGCGAACAGCCCGTGCATGCCCAATTGCAAGAAGACCTTGCTCGGACTCGGAGAGGAGCGGCATACGTACCATGACAGCATTGGCGCCGAGCGCCAGCGCCTTCAGCGCGTCGGTGCCCCGCCGGATGCCACCGTCCACCAGCACCGGCACGGCCCCCTCCACCGCCTTAACCACCTGCAATTCAGCGCACGACACCCGACCCCGGCGGTCCTTTGTCAGTATACGGCCGCTACAGCCGCACTTCGCAGTAACAGCACGCCCAAACGCTGACTGTGTCCCACACGCAACACGTGCAGCGATCGATCGGGTAAATGCGTGGCGCGAGTCAGGAGGATAATAAATGTGGTCAGTCGGCCGGCGGTCAGTTATTACCTCTTCGAGCGCCGAGATGGTGGCTGGCGCATAGTCCAGCTGCCTGCCGCCGTGGTTGGACACGATCACGCCAGACACCCCCGCCTCCACGGCCTTCCTCGCTGCCCAACGCCGCCGGAGTCATCAGAGTTCAGTGACACATACAGTGACCATACCAGTTCTCCGGTTCAGCACCATGCATGCCAGTAATCCAACGCTGATACACTGATAGAGTATATATTATGCTAGTTATCATTCATTACCGTCTTCGGCGGTGACGATGCCCTTGAGCAGGATCGGCAGGCTGGTGATGGACTTGAGCCACTCCACGTCCTGCACGCACAAATTCAGCAAAAACACATCCCATCAACCCACTAGCCGTTTAATTGCCGGCAAGACGGCCCGTCATGGCATGGTCGCCTGTACAGTGATCCAAGGCCGCTGTGGTCAAGTACGGCGATGCATGCAATTCAAGGGCACTACGTGTCCTTTGGACAGGATCACAGGAGAAAGATGCCACTATATATTAAGTGCCATACGTCTGCTCAAAGAACAGGCTTTCAGTATCCAGTGTCAACCCTTATGCCCGATGTTGATGCGTCCATGCACCACCCATAACTGTTCCATATGCTTGCCCAGTACTGTGGGTGTCAGACCACATGCTATGGAACTCGAGATTCAAGAAAGTTTATGGCACGGCCACAGTCTGCTATGTGTTATCTGTACGTACCTTCCATGACAATGATGGATCCAGCGTCTCCCATGAGAATCGTTCCAGCTTGGAGCCACCTTCCTAACAACACGATCAAGATTGCAAGACGATAATGGTTCAGTTTTTCAGAAAGAAAGGAGTTCGTCCACTGTGAACGAATTTTTGTAGCTCTAAACCAGAGATTTATCGAGCAAATGTTTCACTCACAGCACTTTCTATGTCGTTGTCTGATGACATTAAACCTTCAAGGTTTACAAACCGTGGAGCAATCATCCTGCATGAACAATCAGCTCAGTTACAGAACATCCCAAAATAAAACAAAAGGGAAAATTTTGCAACATAGTGTTGTTGAAGCTATAAATGTATTGACAACCTACCTCCATTCCAAATTATAAGACTTTTTTTCTACGCACATAGCTTTCATTATGTATCTAGACAAAATATATATCTAAGTGCATATATCTAGAAAAACCAAAACGTCTTATAATTTGAAATGGATAGAGTAACTGAAGATTTTAACCTCAGTAACAATGGGTTAGGAAACTGGAATTATGATTTGTAAAAGAACATAATTTCACTGAACCTTAGGAGATTTCAACAAAGATAACAAGCACTGTACTTGTTTCTAATATCTGCTTCACGCCTACCAATCACAGGCCTGTCAACTGTCAAAACAACTGCCTTGAATCCTAAACTCTCAGCCCGCCGTACCAATGTTGCCGAAACATCCCTTCTCTTGCACATCTAAGGTACACAAACGAATTTTTCAGAAACCAGGTAGCAGCAGAAAGGGGAATTTACTAAAAAAGATCAATGCCAACGCATCATACATATAACTGATAAAAGCGAATGGCATCGCAGCTGGAGGCAACCTCCTCGATTCTGCAGCTTGATGAGAAGGAAAGCACCTGTATGACATATATGAACATGTGTAACAATCTACATAGGGTCTAAAGACGAGTACATCACCAGATGACCCCCAAAAACAAATTCAGCAGTTACCATTATGGTGTTACATGCTGCGGCAGCTCTTGCTGTGGCCACCTCCCCTGAAATGAACATTTAACCAAGGGTTGTGGAGATAATAGCAAGTTTTATCACTTAAAACTTGGATGACTTGATTTTGTACCTTCTGGATTTGCTAATTTGTGTGCCCCTGTAGGAGCGACAATCATTGGCGATGGCATATTATATCCTAACAAGCTTGTTGACATGTCTATCTTACTCACATCTATAAGGACCCGTGGCCGTAACCTGTGTAATACACGCTGAAAAGTAAGGAACCACTTTTTAATGAGGTTGTAAATAATTGGTGAGGTGAACAGTACATAATTCTTCCATATGCTGCAATATTCTCCCTCAGTGTAGACTCATCCTCTGCTCCCCCATTGATATAATCATAGTGCATCTTTGGTAGTGCTTTCTTGGCGAGTTTTTGATATTCCCGGACATTAATTGGTAGATTATCCTCCATTCGGCTACATTAACATGTTAAAAAGGTCATTCTTATATTGCAATTACAGTTATACATTGGTTTATAAAATTAAGAAAAAGAGCCAACAATAGGTTCCTTTTTCAGTGCAGGCGCTAAATCATTTCAATTTGGACAATACGAAAGTTTAGGATACTTGCATGCTTCAAAAATAAAAACTCTAGTATAGTCATTTCACTTCTAGCCTTTTATTTGGAATGGACGTTACCACTATACATTGTTCCTCAACTGTTCAAACTAGTCCAAAACCAGTAGATGGTAGAGTTAAGCAAAGTAGATTGATATTGATCTGAAGTTTACAATACAATTTTTCTCTAAGTGTGCACAACAGATCAGGAGGAATCTCTACATATTGGGCATCAGAAGAAGATTTAAGATAACCAAACAAGTGTGGCCATACTACTATTTTTGGTATAAAATGTAAATTTCCGATGCCTCGTCTTTGCCAACTGTACCCCTTCACAACCCTTTTAAGAAACAGTAGGACATGTTCATTTAACCAAAACAATTGAGCCCTCCTAGAAATGCAAATGTAGGGTAAAACCAAACTACCAGATGCATACGTAGTACTGCAATGAAAAGTACCAAGTTACAAAACTAGCATCTACATATTGAAGTGAACTCAAAAATTTATGAATCAGTTTCGATGAAGTCAGAAGATTCTAGTATTGCAACTGAAAATTTCAACCATCAGAAGTAAAAGGACACACTGACTAATTGATCCACATATGTTTTCAGTGAATACATTACATTCCAATTTACAGTTTTAAGTGTAGTATTTGTGTAGTGCAAAAATAATTACTGTAGATCAGACCTTTGTAGTGACTCTGGATAGAGCTGGACACAACAAAGCACAGACAACAAAAGGCAGAAAAATGGATTTCTACTCTTGATCTGTAATCAACATTGGGCAATAAAGGGGAAACGAGAAAATTAAAATGACTCTGAAATTGCTGTTCAGATCTAGTCCCTGACCTACTCATCACAACTGAAACAGAACTCAATCTGTTCAGCTATTCATCACAGTTCATTCTTCAGAAGTGTGCTGACTAGCTAAATACATGTAAATGCATGCCGCCCTTCGATATTTTGATGTCTACCACTCCTATGTCACAATCATACAGACTTAGTAAGGGAATATTCCAATTTTCACCAGAGATGTTACCCATATATAAATAGAATTTTTTTACACCCATAACACCTACTCTTTCTAAACTTTGAATTAATATCTTCTCTATCTTTAAGGACGCAAGACTGCTAATTCAGACCACTCTTCAGAAAATACCAAAGTTTTCAGACACATACATCTAAGCGAGGACCAAACATAGTGCTATCTTCTGCTGCAAAGGTTATGAGATAGTTAGAATACTAAGCATCTGTAGGACTCCAAAGCACAGGGAAATCCAGATTTTCCTACTTGATCACTCGTCGTAATAAGTAGTCAGGTCCAAAGTGGTAAACTTCAAGTAGCACTTATTAGAAGGCCAACGCAACTGAAAGTATTTTTCTAAGAAACACAACCGAATGGTTGTCCCACTGAATTCAAGATAACCCCCATATCTGGGGGAACGCCAGATATAGGACATACTGATTAATTGTAATTGATCTACGTATGTTTTCACTTTTCAGTGAAGACATTGTGTTCCAATTTGCAGTTTTAGGTGTAGTAGTTATGCACTGAAAAAATAACTACTGCAGCTCATACCTTTGTAGCGACTCTGGCTAGAGGCTAGAGCTAGACACAACAATGCCCAGACAACAAAAGGCAACAAAGTGGATTTCTACTCTTGTCTCTTGATCTGTAATCAACAGTGGGCCATGAAGGGGAAACGAGAAAACTAAAATGACTCTGAAGTTACTGTTCAGATCTAGTCTTGGTCCTACTCATCACAAGTTCAGCATTCATCACACTTCATTCTTCAGAAGTGCGCTGGCATGCTAAATACATGTAAATGCATGCTGCCCTTTGATGTATTTATGTATACTACTCCTGTGCCACAATCATACAGACTTAGCAAGGGAATATTCCAATTTCCACAATAGATGTTCCCCTCCCCACATAAATGATAAGATGCGCCCATAACACCTATTCTTTCTAAACTTTGAATTAATCACTTCTCTGTCTTTACAGACAAGTAAGACTGCTATAGCTGAAACCCATGCCGTCACTCAAG